ACTATAGCTTGTCCATATTACCAACCTCGTTATTTTGTACGGTAATAGTTTAATATAGACAAGACATCTATTTTTTTAATAAAATATTCGTTATTATCCTTATTTAAAAGCAAAACAAAATTTAAATAGAATCTCAAATTTTCTTTTTACTGCATTCCAGATCACCCTCCTATTATTTATTTTTACAAAAATATTTTAGAAATAAATATTTTTATTTACGAATTAATATTTTTGATGCATTATTATTACAAAAAGGTTTAAAAACTTTAGACAAAAGCACTCATTTTGTTGGTTCGAAAATGGCAAAGCATGGCTGCTTGACCATAGGACAAGGCCGGTGGGCCCTACTGCCACGTAATAATATTTTATTATAATATTTTTGAAAATTTGGCTAAATTTAAATAACCCCAATATTATACATATATTGTCAACATCTATCAAATCAAAATGAAACCCCATCACATTAATCATACATAACAAATAAATGCTCACCTACATGCAACAAGTCCCTAAATTAACCCTAAGTTAATTCAACAAAATAAATCATACATTTCCTTTTAAATAATATTTTAAATTCTCACAAAGAATGCCATAAGACTGCCATTTGTGAAGAAAATGTAGCATATATATATTATATATTATATTATTTGAATTTATGTCACACTCGCTGACGTGGCACATCGCTTGCACAGTCAACAGATAGCAAGATTTAGAAGGTGACACAACGCAAGGGGACACATGGCACAAACGAAGGACTTATATACCGACAAACACAGAATTCCCACTAACTTAAATTAAATTAAATTACTTCTTCCGTACACGTGTCAATATTTGAACACCTACCCAACGAGCGACAGAAACTTTTGTGCCGTAAAATTAATCCACGCGTCCACTACGGCCTGTTTGACCGTAAACGTGTCATTATAGACTCAGTGTGAATGGACACCGAGGTTCCTACGTCCTACCCAAACGCAGCCTTACGTGGACTCCCCTACAGCCTCGACATTGCCTTACATTAAAAAGAATTTTTTGACTTAAGGTAAAAAAAAAAGATATTTTTCAGTTTTATATTATATATGGATAGTAAATTTACAAGTTGGCTGTCTTTTAGTTAATTTAGTTGGACAAGGGACTACTAAATTTATCTTATCTGCACGGGTGACGATGACATGCTCACTTAATTAACTCGATTAATAAGTGTGACGTGGACGTGTAATTATAGATTTAAAACATTATAAAGCTTGGAAATAATTAAAATTAGACCCCTTTGTCTATAAAGTAGAATCCACGTAGCTTTTATGTCATTGAGAACGAGAGCATGGAATAACCCTTAAAAAAGAGGGGGGAAAGCACTTTCGGATTAGTGGAAGTGAAAGTGGATAAGATCAATTTGTTTTTTAATTTTTTTTTAAATATTAATGTTTATAATTAAAAAAGAAAAAGAAAAAGAAAAAGAAAATTGATGGTGAGGTAAAGGGAGAGGGATTTGGATTTGGATTTGGATTTGGTTTGATAAGCGGATGAGATGAAGGGAGAAATATTAACCTCACTCGTGCCAACCTAACTGCACTAAGTAAATGTCCAATCAGATGCTTTGACAGTGACACGCTGGCAAACCAATTCGGATAATGTTTACGGTTGCGGGTGGTCTCTAATATCGTTTGTGGGGTTGTCGTTGTTGCCTAGATATCGCGAATCTTGTCGCTATCTCGTTCGGATTTTTTTTTATTTTTTGTATGAAAATCATTTATTCATTATTTCGGTTTTGTGAATAATAGTTTTAAAGCTTTGTAATTTCACGGGCGAATAAGATTATTATTTATAAGAAAATACTTCATTTATATTAAAATATCATTAGATATTTTTTTATTAATATATTAATATGTATATAATAATATATATTTATGGAGAGAGAGAGTAATGGTGAAACATCCCCGCGAACGGGACGAAATTGGGGGTTGTAGTCCGAAAATGGAACATACCCATTTTCCTTTTTATTTTTTATTTTTAAATAATGGTATATTTTATTTAAATTTATTAGAAAAAAAATTGTAATTTTGATTTCTTTTAAATTATTTTCGACCCATTTATTAGCTCATGTTTTACATTAATATTATATGCAAAATTCAAATTTGACAGACTGACTTGTTAGTTAAGTTAGAACAACTGTGATACAATTGTTATTTTACTATTACTTGCAGTACGATTGTGACACATAATAATAATATTTGTTATAAAATGTTTGTGACTGTCTCAATGGGTACGATAGCTATTTTAAAATATAGTTATTTCATAATAATAATTCTCTTTAAAAAAGCTAAAACTTGATTTTTAAAATCACTTATTTATTAAAAGAATTAACCCAAAAAAATTATCATCCAATAAAAAAATAGAAAATTGTTTTATTATTATTATTTGGATTGAGGTAAATGCCAATTGTGCAGTTGTGACTTAGGAGCAGGACTGGATTGGCTTTGTTGACCTAGAGTTAGCGCTGGTTAGGGTTCGTGACGAAGGCGGTGGTTTAGTCTACGGCTATTTGGCTGTGGCTTCTTCAATTTTGGTTGCGAGCCGTGAACCACCTGATCACGGAGTAGGCGATGGCGATCAAGAAGTTAGCTAGAGTTTTGATGAAATCTCGGGAAGATGGCTTGTCTCTACCCACTCGGGATGATCCATCCATTGACGATTCCCGTCCCATCGACAGCCAAGGTAATCAATCAATTCTCTCTGAAGTTTCTCTTCTAGTAGAAATCTTTACTGGATTCATTCTTTGAACTAATTTCTCATACTTCTTTCTTTTTGTTGTACTTTTGCCCTAATTCGGTGTTTGATTGACAGCGCAAGAGGAGATGGTTCGTTCCTTCGAAAGGGCAAATGATCAACAGAGTCTTTTATGGAGGGTATCGTTTGACTGTATATTGTATATTCCTAATTTTTCTGTATTCGAAGAAAATTTTGGATTCTCGTGTCTGATTGTTTTCTTCTCTGTGCCTGACTGTTCATCAGACTGTGTTTGCGGCATTTCTTTTTTGCTTCGCGATTTTCCTTCTTTACTCGATCATTCACCAGGTTTCATCTCCATGGGAACTGGTATGCTACTTTCTCTGAGAATCTTATCCTGCCCTGTACTGTTCCTCTTCAGATGGTGTTCATATTTTGCAGTAGTTTGAAAGAACTTAACTCCAGTTTAATTGTTCTACTTCTATATGCTTTAGTGACGGACACATTACTTGCAAAGGATACATTAAACTTATGGAGTTTGCATTATACTGATGTTTCTTTTTTCTCTTCTGCAGCGTTATCATGCTTACTTTATGGAGGATGTTAGCTCATGGATGATCATAGCTGCAGGTTCTTTTTTACAAATTTCTCCTTTATTTTACACTCATTATTGCATGTTTGATTCTCACCCCATCAATTTGCTTCAAATGTTGAAGATAATTTCACGGCAAAGTTTCTTTTATTTTTTAAAACCATAACATTTCTTGAACAAAATGGAAACACAAAAAAGCCCCCCCCATATCCAAATATTGCAATGGCCAAGTTCACTTCCGTGTTCTATTGAGCTGTAGTCATGGTTTTAAGTTAGTTATATACTGTGATGCTCTGTTGAGATCTTTGCTTGCTAATATCAACAATTGAAATTCTACAGATTGGGTTGCTATTTTAGCATGTTCATTTTCGATCATTGGGATTGTTAGCAAGTCAAATTACCACAGGCGATGGCTATGGTGCTCGTTCTTCATTGGCTTCCTACTCTCAGTTTTCTGGTTATACTTTATGATTAGGTATGGTGGGAAAACTCTCGAATCATTTTTTTTCCCCCCCAAAGTTATGCTCCTGAATGAAGATATACATACTGACCTGTAGTGTATGTCTGACTTGTCTATTAAAATCTCTTATTTACCTCGTTTGTTGATGGATGCAAATGGTCTTGTTTTTAGTTCTTTTGCCCATTTTCCTAGAGAGCAGTATGTTGTGAATGGCGAATTGTACCAACTTCGTATGTCTAGTCCATGTATGTAAGAAGAAAATTTCATTGCTAGTCCATGTATGTAAGAAGAAAATTTCATTGCTGAAATGTACAGTAGCAGGAAAGAGAGGTTTTCACTACCATGGCAGGTTGAGATACAACCTTACACGAGGGTATTCGACTTGTAATAACAGAAGAGAGATAGAGTAAGCAAAGTACAGCGTAGTCATAATGCACAAATAGTAGTAGTCATATAGTGCCTCTTCCAACGAATTCTTTCCTTTTGATCATTTTTCATACCTGTTGGTATGCCCTTGTAAGGGTGATCTTAAGCTTGTTATTTTGATGATAATAAATTTACAGTTTATAATGTTTGTATGGATTGCAGTTTGCCTAGGTTTCGATGGGATGTTATCTGGCGTCCTTTTGGTCCTCTCAGGTAGTTTTTGAAAAATGAAAAAGATTACGACTTCGACATGAACTTTCGAACTCACTATGTGCTCATACGCTTCTGTTGATTGCAGCGGGGCTGGAATCTGTTTGTATGTGGATCATTTGCTGGCCGAATCGTCCGAGGAAATACGAAAACTTAGAGGCTATATGTATTCTTATAAAGCTAACTGAAAACTTGATGGACGTCTCTTAAATTTGTAATCAATTTGTATCCTATGTTCTTACTAAGCTGATAGTATGCATCTCTGTTAGTAGTATGCAATAGCCGACATCTTATTTTTTATTATATTCATAGTTTGATAAAGCAGTCTTATAATCAATGCTTTTATTCGTCTTTTAATTCATGTTGAAAGTGAATTTGTAAACAAGAAACATGTAAGATAGGCAAATGGGCACAATTCTTAAAATAAGATGTCATAAAGAATGCCAGACTACCTGATTAGATCTTTGAAGATACACAGCATTTTATCATATGATGATAGCCCAACTCTTATGGTTCATATCATCAGCGTTCCATACTGCCACTTGAATTTGCAATGGGTATGAAACAGGGCGTTAAAGAAGAGGAAAATTCAGACATGAAAGGTGAAATTGATGCCAAAATTAAGTGTAAGAGAAGAACCTCTCAAGTTAAAAACACAATCCAAAAACTAAATATAACTAAATCAATCAACTGCTTCCAATAGTGAATTCAAAGTGAAATAAACAAGTGCACCAAAAGGAGGACAATGAAGGATAACTCTGACTCGAAACAAGTCTTGTACCGAAAATTTCACCAAAAGTTGGAAGTACCAGGTAACAAGGCAAACGGTATGAGAATCAGATCAGTCTTCTTCATCGATGACCTTAGTCCCTAATCCTTTCAAACCTTCTGCTGGGATTTCTGCAACGGTGACTAGCGAATACAGTTCTTCCTTTGCATCTTCGTCGTCGTTCCTCTTGCGTGCAATACGAACTCTAATTCTCCTTGGAACACTTCGAATTCCTCTGCTCCAGATATGCTTGTTCAATTTCACGTCCACCCTGACGTCCTTTGTTCCCATTGCCTTCTCTGCAAACTTCCTTATCTCCTTGATGGCCTTGGGAGCCTTCTTCTTGAAGGTGCTGTTATTTAGAATTCAAGTTAAGCATAAGAATTAGGGAGTTGTTACAGTTACAAAATCGTACACAAATTCACGATTGAAATTAAAATTAGGGGAAAAAACTAAGAACACAAAAATGCAAGAGGAGAAACTACTAATGGAAATGAGCGTTATGACAGAAGGAACAGCGCATAAGCAATCCGCTTGTCCAATAGTTTACAATACATAACAGACGCCTGAGAAACTTACTACTACCTATATTGAAATCTCTTTCTCTTCACGGTTTGTGGTACAAATTTAGATAAAAATTCCCCAACATTTAGCTATTATTACTCTTCTCGATCTCATCTTCATATTCAATACCCCTCTACTATCAGTTCATGCGATTGTTCTTTGATCAACTGATACGTGTTCGTAAAGAAATTCACCGATAAAATTTATCCTTCGTCCCCAAGCTCTAATCTTATAGAAATTTCAACAATTAAGTATATACCGACACAAATAACCAAGTTGACCTACCACAACAGTTGCCAGATTACAAGTTTACACAATTAAAATCATGAGAAAAAGGGCCTCGTAATGAAAATATTTTCAAAACATAAGCAATTGAAATTCTTTCGCCATATATATTGGCCGAACATCAAAAACTAGCTTACAGATCTAATTGGGCAGCAGTATGACATCAGTTGATAGCGAGGAATGAGTAAATACGCAAGGAAGAACATGTAAGAATGAGTTGGTACCAGCCATGCAGACGCTTGTGTAGATTGATGGTGTACTCTCTGCTGACCACCTCCTCCTTCCTCCCCTTCGTTTTCTCAACCATATCTACAGTCGGCTTCTTCGATTACACCTGCAACAGGTTAAAACGAAAACATGAATAATGAAAACAACAAAATGTCAAGAAATTGACATCCGAAGCGAAAGCAGCATAAAAGCAAAACCAACAACGTCACGAAGGCGATTGCCTATCTATTTCAATCCGTTTGAGCAAAGAAATCGAAACTTTAGATAACCTAAAAATGGCAGAAGCAGAGCGACCTTGTTAGGGTTTGAAGGATGCACCAGGATGAGGGGGTACAACTTAAATCTGCACAATACCCTAATTTCAGGGTCGTACCAATTTATCAGTGTTTTGATCCATTGGGCTTAGTAGTGATTGCGGCCCAAGGAAGAATAAGCCCACATTATTTTTTTAAAATTAAAATTCTAGTTTAAATACTATTTTAGTTTTTTATATTATTTCATTTTAGTTTATATACTTTTAAGGTGAAATATTTTAATTTTAGTTCATTTTTTGTTTGATTTTTATACTTTTAAAAGTGACTATACTCAGTTCATTTCATTTAAAAAAAAAAATCAATTATATATATAATAATAGATTTGCATGTGATATTAGTCGTGTGTAAAATTTATAAACCATTAATAAAACTAAAAAAAGATTACCAAAATGAATTAAAAATAAACAATTAATAAAACTAAAAAAAGATTACCAAAATGAATTAAAAATAAACAATTAATAAAACTAAAAAAAGATTACCAAAATGAATTAAAAATATATTTTGAAAGTATAGAAACTCAGGCAAAAGTAGTATAGTGACTAAATTAGTATTGAAATCTAAAATTTTATTTTCAAAACAAAAATGATAATTTAGAAACCAAAATAAATAAATATATAGATTTAAATATTAAATTAAAATAAAATTTTAGTTATTAAAGATTGAGGTCAACATTTAATCTAATAATATTTTCACTAAACTACGCCTTTGTTCTCTATCATTTAAATAATTTGGAGCATGCTACACAGCCACTCATTTGTCTCTATTTCTTAGCGATTGTTTTCTCTACTAAGAACCCCTTCCTACTATGGCAACGAAACGGGTCTGCGGGTCGGCAACCCGACCAGCTAAGAGCAACTCCAAGCTTGAGGAAGAATATAATCTCACTAAAACAACCAAATGAAAGCAATGCCTAATTGCTTGCTGCATTGCTCGAGTTTTAGCAAAAGCCGCCCTCTGTTAAAACTTAATTAGTCTTATAATAAAGACTATTTAGAAGAGTTTGATCAAAATATTAAAATTAAAAAAAAAAAAAAAATCTATTTTAATCCTATTTTAAAATGTGTCAACTTTGGTGCTCGTTGTCATAGTCATGGACAGTCCAAGTAAACTATGGATGGTGTTTTTTTTTTTTCCTTTTAAATGGGGAGCTTCAAAATTCTTCCCATAAAGAGACCATGCAGAACCGAGAGAGACGAGCAGTTCTAGAGAAGATGAGCTTGTATTGTCTTAATACTGATGTACATTCTTAAGGTAAATCTTTGTGTTGATAGCCCTGAGATCCTATCATCTTTTGGTTGGAAAACTCCCTTGCCATCCAATATGGGAGCCTTCTTTCCTGCTTTTAAGAAAGGAAAAAAGGAGATCTTGTGGCTTAAGCCTGTCAGAGCATTTCTCTAAAGGGAACAATCAGATTTTCAACAACACATCTCCCCTTCAATAGATTTTGTGAATCACTTCTTATTCTAGCTTTATCTTGATGCATGCAGATACTTCTTTTGGCTAATTGGGAAGTTTTTTATGTAGTTTTCATTAGCTTCAGACAACTACAAATCATGAATCAAATTGTCTCCTTTAACCTGCACATCCCTATAGAGTTGTAATCATGAATAAGAGCTATATAACAAAGAGCGACACACAAATTCAAATAATAAATCAAAAAATAGATATACTATATATGTATAGGTATAGGTATATTCAACGCCAAGCTACTAGATTTACTTGTTATTCTGTCGGAGTGAAAGGAAGTGTGCTGCAAAGTTGTCATAGTCGGGAAGCTTTGGGTGAACATGACTGGCTTTCTCAACTGCCTTGGTCTTCTCCTTCTCTGAACTCTCAGTGTTGTCTTGTGTTTCCATTTTCGGGGAAGGATTGGATAGCCGTTCCTTCGTAGAAGATGTTGGTCTTTCTTCATGGAAAGACCTTCTGGTTTCAGGACTTGGTTTGGAAGGTTTCATTGATTGAGACTGCTCCGAGTTGCTTGATTGAGCCCGAGTCTTTGCTGAAGCTGCAGTTGTCCCCCTCGAACTCTCGAAATTGCCCAGCCTATCTAACTCTGGAGGAGGATAATAGGATTGCCGTTCCTTCGCAGAAGATTTCAACCTTTCCTCATTATAGGACCTCTTAGTTTCAGGAGTTTGGTTGAAAGGTTTAGATGATTGAGGCTGCCTTGAACTTTCATAGTGATCAGAGTATCTTGTTCCAGTCTTTGCCTTCAATGGAGATTTGGATGCATCATAACTCCTTGAAGCTTTTCTCTCACTTACATCCTCATGACTCGTGGGTGTCCCGTAGGAGTCCTCCATACGTGAACTTGGAGTTTTAGGAGATGCTTTGGTCCGTCTAGAAAGACCCATAACTCGATGAGGACTATTTTCCACATTTTGTCCAGGTGAATCTTCTTCAGAATCATCGTCATCATGGAAACCAGGATACTTCACTCCTACTCTTGTTGGGGCTGGCTTCTTTGATATTTCATCCACCTCTTTGTTTTTGTGCCGCTCTTGATCACTTCTAACAGTATAATCCGAGAAATTATCCTTTGAATCATCAAGATTCGAGTTAAAGCTATCAAACTTGGCTCGCAGGCCCTTCTCTTCACCTGGTTTTTCTTCTACACTTCCATCATATAGTTCACTGCGAGCATTTGATCTAAACGAAGTCTTGGCTGTCGAAGAAGAAACTAAGGTAGGCTGGGCAGTTTTTGAGGCATCGTTTTCACATGCTTGTTTGGATGATAAGTTACTTATTGATGAATTGCTTGCATGTGAACGCCTAGAATTACTCTTTTGATTTCTTAGGCCACCCTTCAGTTTCCCAAAATTCAAGCCACTGTTGCTTTCTGAAGTCGATTCTTCTAGTATTACACTGTCGTGTAGAATATCAAGAGACCTTGGTGGGCTGTCTTTCTTCTTCAATTCATGGAGAAGTGGAAGCTCGGAGGAGAGGTGATGAGATGGCGTGCTTCTATTATCCTCATCTGAAGATCCAGGTGATCCATGACTAATGTTTTGAGACCATTCTGGTTTTTCAGATGGCAAATTCTGCCTCTTAGAGAATTTGCTATAGTGATCTTTACCAATGACCTCAAATTCTTCCGGCTCTTTCTCACTTTCAGAACTAGGTCCATCTGAATGGTCAAAAGTTGCCGGCAACAAGTCATCAGAATGGGAAGGATCATCAAAACTTCCCACATTCCCAGCAAACAAAGAAGCACGATCAGAAATTTGCGAGTGTGAAACAGACTTCTCAGGAGAGTCATTCATGTTTTGCTTGAAGACCCAAGTATCATCTGTTGCTGAGTTTATTGGCACCTTCCCTTTAGGCGATGAAGGTTCCAGAATAGATTGTCTTCTCTGGTATTCGTAGTCTGGAACACAATCATCCTCTGGACCGTAATCATCGAAGACCGCACTAGCATGATCGTTAAAACTCGTATCAACAGTACTTTCATGGTCATTTGGTTTATCCATGGCAAAAGGATTCTCGTAAGTATCGTTCACCAGCTTCTCATGGGAAGGAACTTTATTTGAACTATTTCCAATCCTCGAATCTCCATAGGAACTAGTTCTTTCAAAACCCATACCAAATGGCTGATCATTAACATATTCTACATCAACGTTTCTAGGTTGTTTCTCCATGCTGGTACTACTACCAAGAGGGACTCTAAACCCAGGTTCAGATGGGTTCTTGAGAGAGTATCTATCTGATTCATTGAAATTAGTGACAGATGTGTTAGAACCAAAGTTTCTGGGTTGCATATCCACACTATCAAGAGGGTCACTGAACCCAGGTTGGGACGGGTTCTTGAAAGAGGATTTATCTACTGCATTGAAACTGTTTACAGATGCGTTAGCATCAAATTTTCTGGGTTGCTTCTCCACAGATGCACTACTACCAAGGGAGTCCCTAAACCCAGGTTCGGATGAGTTCTTGAAAGAGTAACGGTCTGCCGCATTGAAATTGGTTGCTGATATGTTAACATCATTGTTACTGGCACTTGAAGATGGATAGCTAAAATTCTTGGCATCATTCCCCATAAATCTTCTTGTGTCATTGTCTCTCCAATTATCATCTGGCATGGAACTTTTATGAGGGGCACTGACAACTTGGTCTTTAGGAAGCTGTTGATCTCGCAAATTTCCGCTAGCATATCCTTGAGGTCCTTCAGCCCTTAAATTATAAGATGAAGATTGATGGAACTCTGAAGAGGATGGTTGGGATATGTTTCCACGACTAGAAAGTTCTGCAGCAGCTCGGGCAGCAAGGCTTGCTAGTTCTGCGGATTCAGCAGCTGCCTTCGCAGCAGAGGTAGCATCCTTAAAGTCCATACCCCAATGCTGCCTGCCTGAAGCGTAACTATTTTGATCACCAGAATTCGAGTGCCTACGCATCCCCTCTGCACTAGTTTCTGCATACCAGATTAATATATATCCAATGATTACAAATCCAAGGAAAAGTAGCAATCTTCTATACATATATATCCAATGATCACATCGAAAGTATTTTTCACATACCAGAAGATCTTGCTTCTGAATTACGATGGCCAGTGAAGTTGCTTTGATTAGCATTGACATCAGCAAAGTTGGGTTGCTGGGGATGATGGTTTGATCTCAAATTGCGATTGACGGGGTCTTCAGGTATACGTTGCCTTTCATCGGATTCGGGTGGAGCCTGAATATTAGGAGATCCCCTGTTATTGTGATCAAGTGAAGGTTGGCCACCAATAGCCTCCATCTGTATTTGACTAGCCCTCCCAAAAGTATTTGGGCCATTCTGCTCAACAAAGTTCGTAAGGAGTGGAGTGATCAAAAAATCACCTTAAGGAGTGAAGGAAATGATCTAAAAACTAAAATTTACCAACAAATCAGCCGGAGGGTTGATGTTGTCACCAAAGGATTTAGGATCCCATTTTACGTTATATTCCTCAGCAATTTTAGTCAAGATTTTAATTTTGCTCGGACCATCAGGTGCTTTAGCAGATAGTTTTTCGACCAACTGAAAAGTTGTAATAAAATGAAAGGGAAAGTCAATGGAACTGAGTAATTTTCGTAGATATCCACATTTCCTAAACTTATGAACTGCAAAACAGCTAAAACACTTACCATGCGATTCACACCACATTCTGGGCGTAGTTCCACTGCAGCTGAGACAAATTCTTTTCCATATTTTGCTTTGAAGTGTTTACGAACGTCCAAGAGCTCTGGAATATCTGCACATCTGGGTGATGCAAAAATGACACTCGAGACTGATTCCTTCAAGTCTATTGGGCAATTTCTGGACATAAAAACATAGAAGGAATTAATAACAATGCACATAAGAACAAGAATTTTTCATTCATCACAAGGGGGGGAAATTTTGATTCAATAGAAATCGGAGCTCAAATGAAATCAAACTACAAATTCATATTCTGGAATCAAAGAATATCCTATATGCAAAAGATAATGAGAAATGAACAAAAATAATTTCAATCAAGAAAATTAACATACTTTTGGGACTCGATCATTGGCATACGTGCCACAATTAGCTCGCAAAATATTTCGATGAGTTCATACGCTTCCTTCGATTTCTCTTCTCTAACAAAGTGTTCCACCTGAAATATAGATAGAAACATAGATTCTTCAGGAAAGAGGGGCTCGAGCAGAGATAATCAAGTCGATATGACATTAGGTCTCAAAAACAGCGGTGGCTTGATAAAGACACAAGTAAACCGAAGAAAATATATACACAATCAAGTCCAGAAATGAAGAAAACACTACGATACCCGAATTCTAGCCGTCTGATCCTGTCCAGCCTCGAGCAACTTGGCCAATTCTCCCTTCAGCTGCTTGACATGAACATCTTTCTTATTCCTCAAAAGCTTAATCCGCGAAACCGCTAACTTCAGCGATGTCTTACTGCACCGAGCCAATTCAATAGAATTCAAACGAAAAGAAAAAAAATGCATCAAATTCAATCAATTAATCAACGAATCCGAAATCACAATTCCGTTTGAATTCATCTAATTTGTACAGAAACAAAAATTCATCAGCCATTGAAAGAAAGAAACCCTACCATTTTGCAGGCTTGAAGCTCTTATGCAGCATCGTTGCAGGAATCCAAAACCAGATCTCAACGCGGCAAAACCGAAAACTGTCTCCTTTATTACAAAATCCTTTTCACGAAGGATAGGGTATCCGATTATGCCGACAAAAAAGAAACAAAAACTTCAACAATTGAAGAAAATACAGTAATAGTGAAAAAAACAAAGGCTGAAGAACAATGAATAAGGAAGGAAATCGGAGCGAAGAAAGAAGAAGTGAAAGGAACTTTGTTTCCGTGTAGTGATCAACTTTTTAGTTTATTTGGAAACCGAGGGAGATTGGGAATACCTAGGTACGGGAAGCTTCAAGGTAACCCACCAATCATACCTCCGCTGACTTTTTTTCTTATTGACCAAATCACCCTTTTCATTTTTTTTTTCTTTTTCCGAACAATTTCCACCCACTAATTTACATTTCTGTATTTAAATACTTTTTAAAAAATATTTTTATGTAAAGAAAATATTTTTCTAACTTTTACTCCTCAATTTACAAACCCATAATATATAAATTCAAAATACTATAATTTATATATAAATTCAAAATTCTATAATTTATATATAAATTCAAAATTCTATAATTTATATATAAATTCAAAATTCTATAATTTATATATAAATTCAAAATTCTATAATTTATACGAATAAATTTTTTAATTCAACAATCAAAATCAGAGTTTTCGAAGATATATGTCTTTAATTTGTTTGAGTTACATTTTTTTTAATCCAAGATATATATCTTTAACTATCTGATAGCTTAAAAAAAATGTAAGTGAAACGTATTTTTCACACCATACACATTTAAGGAAAAGGGTATTGATGGTTGTTGTTATTTACCTTTTGCAATCACCAAATCGAGCAACCTGCATGTTTTCTTGTCTTGTTTTAAAGTATTAGTGATTTATTCTGTAATTTGAATTTAAAATTTGTCCACTATCATTAATATTTAGACACGTTAAAAAATTCTTGAGCAGATTGTCAACTTGATTGTACTTTGGATTCGTAAATGTTTGTTCTAAATTTTGATAATAAATAAATAAATAAACTAAGGTAATAAAAAGTTGAATAAAAAATGATATTTTAACAAGATTTAGTTTATTTAATTTAGACTAAATCTCTCGTTTAGATCCCAACGGCTATTTCATACAACGCGTAAGACAATAAGGAAAAAACAGGCCAACAACTTTCTGCCTCTATTTTAACTTCATTTTAATTGGTTTACTTTTAATTAATGTCATCACGAAGAGGGCAGAAAGTGACACCTATTTTTCCAAGATATATATAATAATAATTAAATGACAATGACACCTTCAAAGACATCCCTTTCAAAATGCTTGATTTATTTTTGTGTATAAAAAATAGGAATTTAAAATTTTAGTTTTATTCATAGCTTAATATTGTTTAGAGAAAAATAAAAACATTAAGAACCGACACTTGTCAGTTAATGTTGGTTGCTGGTCAAAGTCAAAGCTTCCGAAGTCGTGTTATAAGGGGCAAAAAGATTTACACCCCTTCCTACGACGGTAACAAGTCATGTGCTTAAAAAGTCAATAAATTTTGTCCACTGTGTTTGAATCCATAAAGATTCTTTCGTGAACTGAAATTTAAAAGTGGATTCATTCGAAGATGAACAGAAGAGAGGGTATGAACTCACAATTGGAAGTTCTATTCTATCATGATTCAAGAGATGAACAGAAGGTGTGAACTCACAATTGGAAGTTCTATTCTATCATATGATTCAAGAGATGAACAGAAGATGAACAGAAGATGTACACGAGATGAACACAAGAGAAGATGAACAGAAGCAACAGCATCATTATCCATCCAAACTTACTCTGGATTATTACTAATAAGTAAACTGATTTCTTCACCAAGTACTATGATTCACAAAAAATGGCAGAAAAACAACAAAATTTCATGAAGAATTTCAGTTATTCGAAAATGGTAGAAACAATGACCAAGGGAAGCAAGCAAGCTTAAGGATGAACTAAAGTGAAGAACCTCAGACATAGTATCCAGTGAAAGTAAAACCCCTTCCCACAATTTCACCAGCACAAAACCATGCAAAGCACTCCAGCCCAAATAGAGCAGCAATACCAGCCTCTTCCACCTTTAGATCTTGTCTGTTCTTCCATAATTGTTTTACGTAATCGAGTTCCTTGTGGAATGATTCATACCGACCTGGAATACTGTATCGATAAGATGCAAGTCAAAATGATGTTCTTTTGGCCTCACGTTCCACACAAAGATTTTGCTCACACTTCTTTAGCTATAAGATTACAAAAGAATATATATTCACATGACCACAGGTCCATAATGGTAAAACAAGTTTAACTGCAATTCAGTGCAACAAGCTATATAGCTCCATCCAGAAAATAATACATCAGAGTATCCCAGATGCTAAAAGAGGATTTTCAATTGGCCTTATGTATATTCAAATTCATGATTCACTTGTATATGTACGGCTTTTTATGTTAAAAAAATAAATGTGAATTTAGATGATACTACAAAACTGTAAATAAATATAAAATTTTAAAACATACTTATCATGTGTTTCTTCCAAAAGCACTGGTAAATGTTTCTTCCAAAGCAATAAAGGCAGACGATATACCAACATAAAGAGAGTGTAGAAAATACGACCTGGCAAGACGAGTGTAAAACAATTGCTTAGAAAGTAGGTTGCATTTCTCCACGGTAGGTGGCTCCTGAATAAATTGCTTGTTTTGCTCCAATAATTGCTTGTAGTAGGAACACCCATGTTTCAACACATATTGTGATGCTTGAGTGGCCTTGGACTGCAACTGAGTCAACTTGGACGCCATTAATCTGAAGTAATACCCTGAAGAGCAGTACACAAAAAAATATGAGACGTTGTAAATGATGAAGTCAAGAACAAGAAAATGATGCAAAATCGAAAGGTAAGACTCAACATTAAAACCCCATAAACTAAATCATGATATTACTTTATAAGTTTGAAAATTGTATTCCCCAAAAAACCGTTAAACCCTCAAAATCCATTCTTAGAATCCGGGACAATCATTTGGGATTTTTGCATCATAAAATTTTGATATTTCACCTACAACCACACGACAGACCTGCCCTTCCCAGGTTTTGATTCTCGTGAAAACCAAACGTGAAACCTCAATATTCCTTACACAACAACTGCCCACATTAGGTTAGATGAGTTATACGATGAATCTTGAAGACAGTGTCTCCTGCCAGAAGTTTTAAGAAGCTTTGACACTATAGTTTCAATATAAGATAACCAAAACACTACGGATGAAGCTCAAAAACCACCAAAGTGGGACCTCAGTTAAATAGCAAGAAATGGTACTGAATTAATGACAAAATCTTAAGAGAAGGAATGCTGATTTGATTTTGGATGACATCAACGATCACCCAGTACTAGCTTAAATTCTGCTGGCAAAGGTTTGAGAACTCTCTATCTGTCTTTCAACTTACAAAATATAAGAGATTGCTGAAAAAGCTTAACTTCCATCCTTCTTTATAACATTTTCAGTAAAAATGACATGTGATGATGCGAGAACAGGTCAAAATTACAGTTGAAGTTAACGTGATAATAGGACTTAGAGACCAAGCTAAAATTTATATTCATTACTCACACACGAAGCAATTGTTTCTAGGATAAAGAGAAACTTAGAAAGAACAATGGGTAAGAGAAATAAAAAATATAGCCCATATACTGCAATAGGAACCACAAGCCAGAAAAGAGGAGAGATCAACAATCTCAAGGTGGGATCAAAGATTCACAAACAGGATACTGAAGAAGGCAAGGTAGCTTTTGAGAGGCAGTCAACAAGCTGAAAACTCCCCATAGAGGATTTGATCACAAATGGAATGGTGCTCCACCTTAATATGCATGGTACAAGCAAAAAATTCTAATTGATCGCAAAAGCACTTTCATGGGATTGCTAATATGGTGTATAGCAGAAATAGCTAGCGAGTCTTTTACTGTAAAGATGGTTACAAATAGCCACTGTTTGGGGGATCAGAGAAAGACAAATAATTGAAAGGACATATCTAAACATTGAATAGAGAATGAATATATTGGTGTTGGAAATGAAAGGCGGTATCACTGAATTTGTTATGAACAAAGACAACTAAATTGGTTCAGAAAATTTAGAACTGAATTGAAACAATCAGGACCAAGAGAATATGTTTTGCTCGAGTCAGCAATGAATTAGAACTTTATAGGAAGTTGACCATAAAATTGCAACAAAGGAGTCTGCCCCGCTCATTCTTTCGTCAAAAATTTTAGGAAGTACAACTAGACATGAAGAACCGGAAATATAAGCTACAGAAAGCTGCAGTGACTTTGAATTCCTGATGATGCGTACAATAGAATCAGAATCCTCGTAAAACAGACGCCACATTCAATGTCTACTCTGTCACGGCATCAAACGACCCAAAATCGCCACAATCTTTTCCCCCAAAATTAAACAGAGTACGCTAGTCATTCCTATTTCAACAGACAGAAAAAAAAACCTAAAATAGCACCCTGCTATAATTACTAAACCCTGAAAATCGAGATTACAGCCATGATTCAAAATTCAATAAATACAAAACACACCCAAAAACCCATCATCTCAATCAAAAGATCTAAAAATAACGAAACAGAAACAGTACATCAGAAAACAAGGAATGAGATCTGATGAACAAATACGCAAAAAAGAAGAAAAAATTAAAAGAATATCAAGACACCAGTGAATTCACGAAACCAACAAATACAAAATTAGAAAGAAAAAGAAAAAGAGGACCAGCAGAACTTTACCTTTGAATGTCCGATTGGAAATGCTAGATTAAAGCAAAACGAAGAAGTAATCGGAAATAAGCGAAGGAATGGAGTCAAATTGCGCGCCGCTGCTTCTAACGCTAGCCTTCCACTCTGCCGCCACGAGCTCTGAGGAGTTCGTGAATGAGAAAATGGACGCTTTACGCAGCAGGGGCCGTTTCGAGAATTCCTCCTCCTTTTTCGTTTTTTCTTTTTAAAAATAAAAACTTCAAGGACCTTTTCATTCGTTATTTCAGTTTTATCTTCCTAGTGATTATGATGCTAAAAAGATAAAATTACATAAATGCCCCGGTAAGAAATAATATCCAAAAAAATTATTATCCAAATATATTGGATTTTTTTAATAGCGTATTTATTTTAAGTTTCCTAAAAATAGTATTAATTTTAAAAGAGGTCGATTATTGGGCTGGGCTTAACTGGCGAACGTTTATAAATATTTGGGCTACTTCTGAAATTTGAGAGCCCATTACTTGGACATAACTACCAACTTAAGGCCCAATAATGTAAGATCAGAATTGAGGCTCAGTATTTAAGCCTGGCTAGTCTTCTAAAACCACGTGTAGTACATTTACACTCGTATTGTAACGTGTAAAATAAGCAAGTCCATTGGTGGAAATTTCCTGCCTATTTTGGTTGGGTTCGGGTCGGTTCGGGGTAAAATATATTTTTTATATGATTATTCATGTATGAAAATCGAACTTATTCAACTCAAAATGGATAAACATATACATATTCGATATACAACAATTAATGATATCGAATTTTTTAAATTTATTGATGATTGAACGTAGTACGAAAACGTGAGCTCTCCGGTGTTTGTTCTAATGGTGTCTTAATACAAATCATTGTAGTTTGAAGTATTCTATTGTAGGAAGAATGGTATTATAAAAGCATGAAACTTAGAAAATAGCAATCAAACGGCCTATAACGAAAATTAGAAGAGACGATAATATAAACAAATTACATCACATGTAAAAGGAAATACAAATTTTAGATTGAGTTTGGTTGTAGTTGGAGAAACAAACTTATGACTTCTCAAGCATCGAGGCGTTAGCTGCTCGATAGAGGGTTGCAGCCCTTATTTCTTTAGGCGCCTACTGAAATCAGGGTAATTGAAAGCATATAATTTGACCCATTGAATTATGTTTGTGTTTATGAGTTATTAAAATTTAGAATTTAGATCAACTAAATTTATAAAAAGGCAAGTCATTCGTGAAGGAGACGATCTTTACGTGGAAATGAAAGAATCCGGAGTAATTAATGAAGAAAATATTGCAGAATCAAAAGTGGCTCTAGTCTACGGTCAGATGAATGAACCGCCGGGAGCTCGTATGAGAGTTGGTTTAACTGCCCTAACTATGGCGGAATATTTCCGAGATGTTAATGAACAAGACGTGTTTCTATTTATCGACAATATCTTCCGTTTCGTTCAAGCCGAATCTGAAGTATCCGCATTACTGGGTAGAATGCCTTCGACTGTGGGTTATCAACTGATTCTTAGTACCGAAATGGATTCCGAACCAAATAAGATAAAATCATAACTAAACCCAATAAAAATAGTTTGAGTCAAGTCTGAATGTGAAATTTGGGCAGAAAGATATGAGCATGTGGGCTAGATTTTTTTACCTCAGTTCTTACACTTTTTACTCGGTCACAGCAGCCAAATATAGTGTGAAGTTGCCACTTTAGTCTACAAGAACGGGACAGCGCACATATGATGCATGACAATTGCCAAATATCTGCAAGAAAAGATACAAACAGAACACAATTAATGAAAGAGGACCTTATCCAACGCACAAAAGAGGGCAAAAACAAAAGCAAGAACAAAAGAATCCTAATTTATTCCAAGTCCCATTTTCATGAGTCCCAATGTATAAGCCTATAACCTCTGTTGCGGTGGCAAGCATTGATTTCCTCATGGGTACAAAATCAAATCATACAGAATAACCAATCATTACTAGCCTAAAGCTTCATTCATCCCCTTTGGTTTGGCTGTGGTGTGGAGCTTCTTGGATCCACAATACTTTAAAAAGAAAAAACATCATAGTGATGCTTTTTCCCTTGGACAAGCAGCAATCAAGTAGGGGATATGGGGGAGGGATACAACGGATGAAACAAAACAAAATAACGAGGACAAGACATTAATATCAGTATTATTATGAATAGTGGTCAAATTCATATGTCAAAAGGCGGTGGATGGCATTATAGTGCTTCTAGACATTTCGTCGAACACTTTGTAGGCAGAAACAAAATATGAGATTTTGAGAGCTAGGAAAGAGAGGAGGCCCCAGAAGAAAATGGGTATCTTACCAACGTTAAATAAAATAATGATATCACTATTATTATGAATAGAGGTCAAATTCACATGTCAAAAGGCGGTGAATGGCATTATAGTGCTTCACAGACATTTCGTCGAACAGTTTGTTGGCAGAAACAAAAAATAAGATTATGTATAAGAAAATGGGTATCTTACCAGCGTTAAATAAAATAACGAGATCACTATTATTATGAATAGAGATCAAATTCATATATCAAACGGCGTTGGATGGCATTATAATGCTTCATAGACATTTCGTCGAACAGTTTGTAGGCAGAAACAAAAAATAAGATTATGTATAAGAAAATGGGTATCTTACCAACGATTCACTGAAGACGAAGTACACACAAACTTTAATTTGATACGAAAATTTAAAAGGACAAAGATTGACGTGTTTCTGTTTCTGCAAAAACTCCATTGGGGTTGTCTAGGAGCAGGGGAACCTTTGTTTGGGTTTTGAAAATGATCTCGTACTTTCCAGCTTGCTGAGCACGTAAGCCGTGGGGACGTGTCCGATGAATGCTTTGAATATGAGCCATGCTGCCACCCCCATCGCTCCTTTTAAACGTCAATTTTCAAGCTTCCTCAACGACACCTCCATTTCTCTTTTTAACGTCCTTTTCAGTCTCCCTCAAATGACGCATCTATTTCTCTTTTTGAGCTTCAAACTCTTATATACCTCTCAAAAAATTAATTCCAACACTGTTTAATGCAGAAATTAATATAAATAACTAAAAGAATAGAACAATTTACTTTGATTTTTTATTTTTTTTTAATTACAGTCAGATATCATTTATCTTTTGATAAAAAAAATGAAAAATAAAACTTTTTTTTTAGTTCACACATTAATTAATAAAAATATATTTTCAATAATACCCATAAACTTAATATATATATCATTTAATTTTTTCAAAAATATTTTACAGTTAGTTTTGAAGAGAGTTTTGTTTCAAATATTTTCAAAAATATCATTTAAGTTTCGTAAATACCTTTAAATTTTCAAGATTTTCATTAATACTCTCAAAACTTTTTTAAATACTTCAAAAATACTTTTAAATTATTTATAAAAAAAATATTCAAAAACATTATTGGCATCACGTTTAAAACACTCAACATAAAAAAGTTTGGAGATAATTTGTAAGATGTTAGTATATAATTTCAGTTGTTCGTATATTGATGGTAAAAAAAAATTTGAACTTTTTTCTCGTAAATATAAAAAGTGTTAATGCACCTTTTAAAATTTAAGGAATATCTTTTAAACATAATTGGATGGATAAAAGTATTTTTCAACTCTTTTTTAAAAAAAAAATTGTAGGTATTAAATTTTTTTTTGAAATGCTATTAAAAACTCGTACGTGTATATATATATATGTATGTATGTATGTATATACATAATATGTATATATACGTCTGTATTACATAATATATGAATCTACATACATATGTATATATTATATATGTATGTACGTTAGTATGTATATATATATATTTAGTATACATATATATATATATTATGTGTATGTACATATATATATATTTATATATATTTAGTGCATTGGAGTATTTTTTTATATTAAAATTGAGATTTTTTTTTTTAACAAAAGCATCTATATATTTACATAATATGTCGAGCTATTGATATGAACATATATTGAAAGAGGAAAAATAGATAGAAATTGTCGAAATCAAAATTTAATAAGAAATCGTTTTTTTATTACAATACAACTATAACGACATATTTGTTTAAAACATGCAGGCTACGTACTCTCGTTATGACGTGTAATATTTAAAAAATACAATAAATTTAAAATTTTATAAATATCGTTTCTTTATTACGATATATTTATTTAAAACATGTAAGCTATGTACTCTCGTTATAATTGACGTAGAATATTTTAAAAATACAATAAATTTAAAATTTTATAAATATCGTTTCTTTATTAGGATACAAAATATTTGTTTAAAAGATTCAAGCCAAGTACTCTCGTTACTACTATGGAATATTTAAAAAATACAATAAATTTAAAATTTTATAAATACATGCACGTTTTTTTCACTCTTTTTACAAAAATAAAAAATTACCGGATTCCCACTAAAATTGTGAGTTACAAAATTAAATTTCCGGAATAAATAATCTATTTTAAAAGATTTTCAGTTACAAAATTGGAATAAATAATATATTTAATGTTTAAAAGAAAACAACAAATAAAAAAAAAGTGGTTATTCAACTATTTTTACCTTTTATAAATATATTTATAAAAATAAAAAACATATATTTATACCATAGATGGAAAGACAGTTCATATGATGTAACAGATAGTGTTTTCGCTTCTCCTTTTGGGTTTTCAACGCGTGTGCGAGGAAAGGTTTCCACACTTTATAAAAGTGGGATGAATATCTATTGACGTGGAATATTTTAAAAAATGTACAATAAATTTAAATTTTAAAAATTTGCATGCATAGTGTAGAGGCATACACCAAAATCACGCACTTCGGATTTTGAAACAAAAGAGACAAAGAGTTGCTATAAATAGAGGAGCTCTAATGGCTACAGTTTTCCATTCAAATTTCACCTCCTTTTCTCTTATTACTCTCCTATTTGTTCTTGAAATCAATGGCTAATAATGAGGAAACCCCAGAAGTTGAACTCTCTGAAATTGCTATGTCGGAAACTCACGGCGAAAACTCGCCGTATTTTGTCGGCTGGAAAGCTTACGATCAAATTCCGTATAATGAATCCACCAATCCTTCTGGCATTATCCAAATGGGTTTAGCAGAAAACCAAGTGTCTTTTGACTTGGTGGAGGAATATTTAGAGCAAAATTCAGATGCTGGACCGGATTCTTCTGGGTTCAGGGAAACCGCTTTGTTTCAAGATTATCATGGGCTGCTCTCTTTTCGAACCGCTATGGCTGGTTTTATGGAACGAATTAGAGATGGAGCTGTGAAATTTGACCCAAGTCGGGTTGTTTTGACTGCCGGTGCTACGGCGGCTAATGAGCTTCTCACTCTCATTCTGGCTAACCCTGGTGACGCTTTGCTGCTTCCTACTCCTTACTATCCTGGGTAAGATTATCAAAACCAACTACTTCTTAACGATGACCGACTTCCCGAATGACTTCCAGAATGATATGATATTGTTAACTCCCAGTATAAGCTCTCGTCATGTTTTCTATTGTTTATAAACTCTCATGTTTTCTAAATTAGCCAATGGAGAACTCTCTCCCGAAAATCCTCCCTTCAAACAAAATACACTATAGAACCTCCCCTGAGATCTATGAGCTCTTGAACTCCCCTTAATCTAATCGATGACACTTTCATCCAACACCTCCCATCGAACAAAGTACGCCTCCGCTTAATCGAGGCTCGACTCCTTTAGAGTCTTAGCCATTTTTTACTACCTTTGAGGAGGCTTGACTCATTTTTCTTTTTGGAGTCCTTTGTTCGGCATTCGAGGATTTGCCAATCTATTGACACGACTAAGTTTAGGGCACGGCTCTGATACTATGTTAGATAAACACGACTCTCCACAATGGACTCTTTTAACTGTTATCCTAACAACTTATATCATATTCAGATCGAGTATGTACGTTGTTATGTGATTCTAATAACGGGTATAAATTCTGTTTTTTTTTTTTTTTTCAGATTTGATCGGGATTTGAGATGGAGAACTAAAGTGAAGATTATACCAATTCATTGTGATAGTTCTAATGATTTTCAAATAACTCGTCAAGCATTGGAAGCTGCGTATGATAGTGCAATGGCTATGAAGATCAAAGTTAGAGGAGTTTTGATCACAAATCCATCCAACCCACTTGGCCTAACGATCCAACGGTCCACAATTGAGGAGGTTTTGGATTTTGTTACAGACAAGAACATCCACCTTATTTCCGACGAAATCTATTCCGGTTCGGTTTTCTCCTCGGCCGAGTTCACCAGCGTGGCTGGGGTTTTGGAATCCCGTGGTAATAAGAATGCCGACCGGGTTCATATTGTGTATAGTCTCTCCAAAGATCTCGGCCTTCCGGGGTTTAGAGTTGGGACAATTTATTCTTACAATGACAGAGTTGTGACGACGGCTCGCCGGATGTCGAGTTTCACGTTGATTTCTTCACAAACGCAGCGGTTTTTAGCGGCCATGTTGTCGAACCAGAAGTTTATAGACAAGTATATTGAAATGAACCGGGATCGGCTCAGGAAGCGTTATCAGATGATAATTGAAGGGCTGCGAATGGCTGGGATTGAGTGCTTGAAAGGGAATGCCGGTTTGTTTTGTTGGATGAATTTGAGCCCATTGTTGAAAAAGAATCCTACACGAGAAGGTGAAATTGAGCTTTGGAAGTGTATTCTGAAGGAAGCGAAATTGAATATTTCGCCCGGTTCTTCCTGTCATTGCTCTGAACCGGGCTGGTTTAGAGTTTGTTTTGCCAATATGAGTGAAGAAACCCTACAGATTGCTCTCAAGAGAATACATTCTTTCATGGAGAGGATGAGGAACTCTCGTGAAGACATAATATGAAGGGATTTTTTAGAGGAGTATGTTTGCTCGAGATCTCACCTTGGTTGGGGGCGGAGAACAAAACATTCATTATAAGGATGTGGAAGTCTCTCCCTAATAGACACGTTATTCAAACCTTGAAGCAAAGTACAAAAAAAGACAATATCTATTAACAGTGAACTCTTATCAAAACATAATATTAAGTTTTTTTTTTTTTTTTTGAGTCTAAACGAGTATGTTTGTGTGAGATCCCATATCTGTTGGGAGGAGAACGAAACATTATTATAAGGGTGTAGAAACCTCTCTATAATATACACGTAAATAAAAAAAAAAGACAATATCTACTAGTGGTGAACTCTCCAGACATAATATGAAGGAATAATTTTTTTTGTAAGTTTAAATGAGTATGTTTGTGTAAGATCCCACCTTAATTGGGGAAGAAAACAAACAATCTTTATAAGGGTATGTAAATTTCTCTCTAATAGAGACGTTTTAAAAACCTTGAAGGAAAGTAAAAAAAAAAAACAATATCGGCTAGTGGTGAACTCTCATTAAGACAATGAAAGAATAATTTTCTTTTTTTATTAAGTTTAAAAGAGTGTGTTTGTGTGAGATAGCACATTTGCTAGGAGGAGATAACTAAATATTTTTTATAAAGATGTGAAAACTCTTCCAAACAGATTCAAAAGTCTAAAAAATACTTTTATATATATATATATATAATTAATTAAAAAGTTTGGCACACTTGGTCAACTTTTGGCATGTCATGAATGGCGGCAATTGCTAAAAACAGAATAAGATGAATAAATGCGAAGGAAAAGAGGAAGAAAACGACACTTTTCTCTCTATTATTCGTTGTGCAGTCGTGTTTTTACATGCACACTTCAGAAGAACGAAAAGCAAATAAGACAATCAATCAATCAATCATGAGGTTGGTTGAAGTTACGAGGCCTTTCTCTAGTCCATAAGAAAAGGCAAAAACTAAAGAATCATAATTTCTACAAAACCACATTTTCATGAGTTCCAATGCACAACCTCATAACCTCTGTTGCAAGCCAGGCTGGTTGGGTTGGCTGGAGAACAAAATGGGTACAAAACAAATCACTCCGGATGCCATTGCTACTCTACCAAGAGCAGTCACACAGAACAGATTTTACTCAAATTTGAGCTACATATTCTCCGTACTGAACAGACCACCTCTATAACATATTCCACATAATGATACATAAACGCAAGAACAGTTGCACTTTAGCTAAAATTCCATAACAAAACATGCAATGAGGAGAATCCCAATGCAGAAAAAGCCCAGAAAATAAGGAATAAAGATGGCAAATGTATCAAGATTCACCGACGTTTGAGGATTATATTGATATGACTAAGTTAAAGGGCATGACTTTGAGAATGGTATGATATTATCTCTCCATTGGTATGAGGCATTTTGGGGAAGCCCAAAACAAAGCCATGAGAGCTTATGCTCAAAGTGCTCCATTGGTATGAGGTCTTTTGGGGAAGCCCAAAGCAAAACCATGAGAGCTTATGCTCAAAGTGGACAATATCATACCATTTGTGGAGAGTCGTGTTCGTCTAACCATGGTATCAGAGCCATGCACTAAACCTAGTCGTGCCAATAGATTGGTAAATCCTCAAATGTCGAACAAAAGACTCTAAAAGAAAAGAAGTCAAGCCTCGATTAAGGGGAGACGTACTTTGTTTGAGGGGGGTGTTGGATGATGAAAGTCTCACATCGGCTCATTTAGGGAATGATCATGGGTTTATAAACAAAAAAAAAAAAATACTCTCTCCATTGGTATGCCTTTTTGGGAGGCCAATGCAAAACCATGCGAGCTTATGCTCAAAGTTGACAATATCATACCATTGTGGAGAGTCGTGTTCGTCTAACCGTGACTATCATTTTTGTTTTCTCAAAATGCCTTGTATCAATAGAGATAGTAATCCTTACTTATAAATTCCGACGTGAATTCCTTTCCCAACTATCTTCAACAACATCAAACACGTTAAAGATGCAAGTATTTTTGTGTTTGGGCAAGCAGCAATCAGGTGGGGGATTATGGGGGATAAGACATTAATATCATCATCATCTATGGTGGTCAAATTCCTATGTCAAATGGCGGTGGATGGCATTATAGTGCTTCACAGGCATTTCATCGAACAGTTTGTAGGCAGAAACGAAACATGAGATCATAAATGCAAGAAAACAGAGGAGATAAAGTACAGAGATCTTACCAACGATTCGTTGAAGACGAAGTACATAGAAAACATAATTTGATATGGAAATGAGAAAAGATTAAGATTGGCGTGTTCGTATGTTCCAGCTCGCTTAGCACGTAAGCCGTCGGGACGTGTCCGCTCTGTAGGCTTTGACTATCCTAATATAGAAATTAATATAAATATCTAAGAAAAGAATTATTAAAATATCTAATAAACCATAAATAAAAGTTAACAAATCGCACCTTTTTTAATCAAATATTAACAAATAAACAAGGAAATTTTGCAAGACCACCCATGAGTATAGTGGTCGTGATCACACACGATAAAATATGACTTTTTCTTTTTACATATATTTCGCGAATTTATTTAATTTTCTATTTTAAGTTATTTCTGTTATAATTATATTGTTATATATTTTGAATATTTGTTGGTCGTTAAGTTAATGACATATTTGGATAATTTACAGTGCTTCATCACAAAATAAAAAAAAAAAAAATAATAATAATAATAAATTGTTGACTGAAAAAAATATCCCAAATTCGATGACGACCACTAATATCTACATCATACAATTGAAACTTCAATGTGGAAATGGATCGATTATTTAATCCCGGGGTAAGAGAATAGTATCGTTCCGATTTCCTCACTGTCAACAGTGATCTTACGGTATGCCGATTGAGCTTCCTCGGCATCGACGCCACTTTGATTTGTCGGATTGTTGAAGCCACTTCCATGGCTTCGGCTTCGCTTCTTACTCCTCCCCCGGTGCCGGTGGAGCTTTACGTCACCAATAGAGAAAAGTTGCTTAAGTCCTTACGTCAACACCTTGCCGATTCCGCTCGTCCTCTCAAAGGCATTGTGTTGCTTCAGGTAATCTTATCTGCAATTCACAACACGATGCCCTAATTTTGTGTTTGTAACATTCCGTAGTTCTTTTTTCCTTATTCCATTTCCTTGATTGTGACGATTTGTTAGGGAGGCGATGAGCGAACGCGCTACGATACGGACCATCTCGAACTCTTCAGGTACTTGATGATGAAAGTCTTTTAAGTTTCTGATATTCGCTGTAAGCACAGTTCGGTTTTTTGATATTGCAATGTATCTCAAATTATGTCCTAACCTCTGATATTCTATCCGTCGCGGCGTTGCAAATAGTCTAGAGCCACACTTGTTTTAGAACTTAGATAATTTTCTCGTAGTTATTGAATTGTGTGCCGCGCCACTTACAGATGATTATAAACATTAAATTGTTAACACTTATATTTCGTCGCCGTCCTGAATGATATAACTTATCTGAGTGTTACTCGAAGCTCAATATGCTTGCAAATTCCTTTTGCTTTTCAGTTTAGTCATCGTGAGACACGTTTGATCCTTTTGGTTGGTTTAATTTGCAGGCAAGAGAGTTATTTTGCTTATCTGTTTGGAGTGATAGAGCCTGGATTCTATGGCGCTATTGTAAGCCAATTACTCCCTTGAACGTTTTAATGTTAATTGTTTAATATTGATACTAATCTTTGTGTTGGAGTTTGTACATTTTTACTTGATACTTGCAGTGTGTTAAATGTAATTATTTGATTAAATTGTTTTATTTTGCAAAATTTTCACACAATAGTTGTTTCATTACTATGTAGTTGGGCGTGTAGCTGTTTTGACACATGTACTCAATGAAAATGAAGTCATTCCTTATACGTCTATTTCAACTGTATCACATATCCACGTTATTGTCTTGTAACACAAAATTTGTATAGGACATTGCCAGTGGAAAGTCAATTCTGTTCGCTCCAAAGCTGCCTTCTGATTATGCTGTATGGTCGGGAGAAATAAAGCCTTTGTCATATTTCAAGGTGGTGTGTGATAACCTGCACTTGGTGCACTACGCCTTGTCTTATTAGCTGATTGTACTGAATATGTTTTATAGGAAAAATATGAGGTCAGTATGGCATACTATACAGATGAAATTGCAGCTGTTTTGCACGAACAATACCAGGAGTTGGAGAAACCTTTACTATTTCTCTTACGTGGGTTGAATACTGACAGCAACAATTTTTCAGTACCCGCAAATTTTGAGGTTCAGTTCCCACCTTTATGCTTTATCCTACATATTTGTTGAAATTGTAAAGTAAGCTATTTGGTTTCATTGGAGTTTATCCTTGAGGAATTACTGCATTTGCTATATCTCGATTTTGGAATGGTCCACGAGTTTTCCGAAGTTCAAGGCCATTAGTTTTCCAAGGCTCATTAATTATGCTTCTATTTTGTGTTATACTTTTGGTGAATAGATGTCTTGGACTCTGTTTTCTACTTTCTATTTACCATTTCTGGAGCTGTTACTAATACTGTGAGAATTTTTGCAAAAGAAAATATTTCTTTTGGATTCCTGATCATTTATTTCAATTTTAGAAAATAGTTGAGAAATTGTTGTATTTTTCATTTTTAGGTTATAAATTTCTGATTATCATGGAGTACAAAGGTGCTATAGTATTTAAGGGGCTCATCTAAAAGGTGTCTTTCAATTTTGAAATAATAGATTACAAGACACAGCAGATACATCAAATCTGTTTTTCTCTTTGGACAGAAAATAGAAAAAATAATTGCATGATTCTGTTTTCATTTTATAAAATTAGAATTTGGAAGTTAAAAGCATTATCAATGGGCCCCTTACTGTTGTAACTAGCATCAGACTTCTAGCTTTGATCTTTGATCATGTTTAGACTTTCTTCCTCTAATTCTTATCTGTTTCAGGGTATTGACACGTTTGAAATTGATTTGAATATCTTGCATCCTATTTTGAC